TGAGTGTGCCATTCAATGGCATTGAACACTTTCACAGTGATGTGTGCCCATCACCACCATTTTTGCCCAAGATTTTTCATCATACACAACATAAAGTCTGTTTGTTTTAAATGCCAGCTCCTCATTCCCCTCCCCCGGCCTTCGGTTACCTCTTCTACTTGCTGTTTCTGTGAATTTACCTATTATAGGTACCTCACACAAGTGCAGTCAAATAACATTTGACATTTTGTGTCTGCTTATTTCACTAAGCATAATGTCCTCCAGCTCTGTCCATGTTGTGGCCTGTCAGAAGCACGTTCCTTTCTAAGGCTGAATTATTCTCTGTGGTGTGGATGAACCACACTGTTCATTCATTCCTCTGTGGATGACATTCGTGTTGTTTCTACCTCTTGGCTGTTGTGAATAATGCTACTATAAACTTGGATGTTCAGATATCTCTTTGTGATACTGACTTCAATTATGTTAGATGTCCTAGGTATGGAATTGATGGATCTTATGGTCATTCTGTGTCTAATTTTTTGAGGAACCTCCAAACTTTTCCGCAGTGGATGACAGTTCTGATTTCTCCATCCACATTCTCACCAACACTTCTTCTTTTACATTACATTCCTTGGATTATAGCCGTCTTATTACATGTAAGGTGGCATCTCAACTGTGGTTTTGATTTGCATTTACATATGATTAATGATATTGAACATCTGTTAATGTGCTTATTAATCATTTGTATATCTTGTTTGGGGAAATGTCTATTCAAGATCTTTCCCATTTTAACATTTTTAAAAATTGCTGTTGTTGAGTCATAGGAGTCCTTTATATGCACTGCATATTAATCCCTTATCAGATATATGATTTGTAAATATTTTCTCCCATTCTTTAGGTTGTCTTTTTGCTTTCTTGATAGAGTTCTTTGATACATAAAAGTTCTGCCGGGCGCGGTGGCTCAAGCCTGTAATCCCAGCACTGTGGGAGGCCGAGGCGGGTGGATCACGAGGTCAAGAGATCGAGACCATCCTGGTCAACATGGTGAAACCCCGTCTCTACTAAAAATACAAAAAATTAGCTGAGCATGGTGGCGCGTGCCTGTAGTCCCAGCGACTCAGGAGGCTGAGGCAGTGAGGCAGGAGAATTGCCTGAACCCGGGAGGCGGAGGTTGCGGTGAGCCGAGATCGCGCCATTGCACTCCAGCCTGGGTAACAAGAGGGAAACTCCGTCTCAAAAAAAAAAAAAGATACATAAAAGTTCTTAATTTTGATGAAGCCCAATTTATCTAGTTTTTCTTTTGCTGTCTTTGCATTTTTTTGTCATACCATTATTACTTTTATTAGTATATTATTTTCCCTCATTTTCAGTGTTACCTCTGCCATGTATCAACATTCCAGGAGTGCGTGCCTCTGTCTCTGGGTTCTGTAGAGGCACAGGCAGCCACCTGCTCACTGGGCCTCAGGTTTGGGGGTCACCTTATGGTAACCCCCCAGTGTTTCTGCTTCAGGTCAAGCTCCTGCTCCTCTTCCTGTTACCCTGCCTCTCCTCCTGCTCTGGTCTGTGGCCTCAGACACAGAAAGCAGGGGGAGCTGCAGCCCTGCCTATTCAAAAGCCACACACCCTGGATGTCGAAGCCCCAGTTGTGTCTCTCCTGCTGTCTCTCAAGGCAGAACGTTCTGGGAGGAAGGCATTTTCCACCCATTCCCTGTCTATTTGTGCCTCTCTTCAAAGGGTGCTTTTGTATTCTGACTATCTAGAACTCATCACGTGGGTTACCACTGGCCTTCCTGTGTCATTTCTTTTATTTTTGGAAAGCGACTCCCTGATTCTCCTGTTACAGTCATGGCCAGGCCTCGGTGTGGACAAGGCAGCCACCTGATGGTGACCAGATTCTGAAAATAACTCCCTTTCCTTACAATGATGTCCAGCCACTGACAATATTCCACCATTAGAAATTCGTTCCTTTGATGTGTGACGTTATGTATCTGATGTCAAACTTTGAATGCAAATTAATTCTGGAAATACATGTAAAAATTCACACAACCAATTTTGTGAGTGCTAAGGTATGTAGTAACTAGGGTTCCAAACAAATGAGCTTCAAGAGTTCAGTACCTGGGTTGCACTGTCAAGCGTGGTGGCTGCCAGTGGCCCTGAGACCTAGAAATGTGGCTGGTCTGGGTTAAGATGTGCTGTCAGTGTAAAAGGCATCCTGGACTTCAGAGACGTTGTATGATAAAAGAATATAAAATATGTCATCAACAATCATTCCATATTGATAGTGTGTTGAAATGATAACATTTTGGCTCTGTTGGTTTAATAAAATATATTATTAATTTCTATTTCTTTTTTCTTTCTCCTTTTTTAATGTGGCTCTCTCTCTGCTGGCCTGCGTTACTCTCCAGCTCTGCCTCAGGAAGCTGAGTTTAGGATGGGTTAAGGGAACAACTGGGCAGAAAGCCTGGGTGGGAGGCAGCAGGAAGCTCTGAGCCCATGATGTAGGACTGGGGAGTGAGCTCGGTGGGCAGGCTGCATGCCTGTGCCTCTGGGGGCTGTTAGCGGCCGCTGGCAGTTGCTGCAGCTGAACCGGACATGAGAGAGGCTTTCTCTGGTCAAAGCCTTGGGAGGACACTGGGAGTTCTCCAGGCCTAGCTTGTGCAGATTAGCTGGCGTGAGCCCTGCGGATAATGAAACTCTCTGACACTGATCTTCCCTCGGGTGGGCACCAGACAGATTCTAGGCGTGGTTTCCCCAGTTTGTGTTCAGCCACGGAGAGGCCCTGCTCTCTGGGGTCCCAGGAGAGTGTGTCCTGCAGGGAATTAATCCCAGGGCCTCTGGTCGCCTTATGATTCACTCGTTGGATAGTTAAAAGACCCAGATTCAAAAGGGGCAGCTCAAACCTTTGCCCCCTGGGAACAAAGGCAGGAGATTAGCTCTGTTTTATCAATCAGCATTGTCAGGATGGAATGAAAAAGGCTAACTTTAAAGCCTTCACCTGTTGAGGCCCCAGTTAGAGCCTCCGTGGGAATCAAAGGTCATTCCTGCCCAAGGTTTTGTCTCAAGTCCTCAAATGGGTAGCACTGAATTACCTTTAAAAATGGCCTCAAAGGGCCGGAGATGAAGCATGGATTAGTGTCCTAATCCATGGCCTGTAGTTAGGACCCAGGGAACTTGGGGAAGAGGTGGCATTGTCCTCAGCTGTCCCTGGCATGCGGTGCCATTCGAGGTGGGCTGGGGTGAGAGTGGGCTTTGTGCCCCGGAACAGGACCCTTTCCCTGGCTTTGGGGGCGTTCTCACAAAGTTTTGCCAGCTGACAGCCTTGGCCCTTGGACAGTGGGATTTGTCAAGACCCAGATAAATGAAATCTTAGGCTCAGACAGGGAAAGGTAGGCATCCTGCTCTGGTATTTCTGTGAGGAACAGTGTTGGGCCAGGCTGAGCCACGGGGCTGGAGAAGACCCCAAATGCCAAAATCCTAACTGGTGTCTCTACAGCCTCTTACCCCACCTTAGAGCCACCGGGGGCAATCAGATCTGATCACAGGCCACCTGTTTCTGCTGTGGGTCTCCAGCTGCAAGAGTGGTTTTCCCACTGACATGGACCCCAGCCTGCTGTGAAGCTGCCTTCAACACAGAAGGGGAGGTTGTGGGGCTGGCCTCTGAGGAGTGACCTGGCTGAGCCCGCTGTCCACCAAGGCCTCAGACCCTTCCCTGCCACGTGGGGTCCCAGTGTCGGCCTGGTGACATGAGGCTGTGCCAGGGCCTGTCATTGCAGACCCTGGGCAAGAGCTGCCTTAGGGCAGAGGAGATGGCACAGACCTGTCCCTGAGTGGCCCCTGGGCTAGGACAGGGCCTGCTAGGGGAGCAGCCTCACTTCCTGCCCCCTCACCATTCCGTCCATACTCAGAGCAGACTCCCCTCCTCCATCTCCAACCAACTCTGTGCTGTGGATGGGCTGCGGCTCTGTGGGGCACCCCCAGCTGCTGCCTCTCTTCCTCTCCATTCCTGGCCAAGTGGGTCTTGGTTTCCTTCACTGCAGGCAGAAGCCGAGCCTGGGCTGTGCCCTGATGAGTGGCGCCCCTTCCTTCAGGGCTGTTCTGTGTGGCTGTCCCTTTGGCACATTCCCACTTCCCACCCTGACGTGACAAAGATCCCCAAGTCAGGGTGGACTTGGGACCCCTCAACATTCCCCTGTGTCCCTATGCATTGCACAGGCAAATCAAACCTTCTCAAATTTTTGCCTCCACAGGTCCCCAGGGGCAGATGCTCCAAGGTCTCCATCGCTCCTGTCCTCTGCCAGCTGCCTGGCTGCCTGAATTGGTGGTTCTGCCCAGGCAGTCACCACGAGGCTAGCCGGCCTCAATGTCGGCGCCTGTCTTTCTGAGGGCGACTTTCTGAGACCCCAGGCCCCGGCAGGGGGGATTTCTCTCTCCTTCCATCCACCCCCTGACATCGTCATGCTGGCTGTTCAGTGTGGCGGCCACATCTGGTATCCAGCTACAGCCCACGGAGCCAGGGACAACCCGGGGTTTAGTCAGGATCCCTGCAGCGTTGCCTCGCCTCTGTGTGTGGAGAAGTTACTGCCAGCACCCTGGGACAGGAATCCTTCCAGGAATGCTCTCACCTGCAAAAATTTAGAAGTTCAACAAAATGTGAAACTGCAGGAAATGGGTTTGAGTATTTATACAATAAAAACAAATGTATATAAAATTTGTTAGAGGAAAGCCTGAATTATCTTTCTCTTCTCTTAATAGAAAATGAGATACCAGCCGGGTGCAGTGGCTCACACCTATAATTTCAGCACTTTGGGAGGCCGAGGCAGGGGGATCACTTGAGGTCAGGAGTTCAAGACCATCATGGCCAACATGGTGAAACACCATCTCTACTAAAAACACGAAAATTAGCTGGGTGTGGTGGTGGGCGCCTGTAATTCCAGCTACAAAGAAGGCTGAGGCAGGAGAATCACTTGAACCCGGAGGCAGAGGTTGCAGTGAGCTGGGATCCCACCATTGCAATCCAGCCTGGTGACAGAGCAAGACTTCATCTCAAAAAAGTAAGAAAGAAACAAAATGATACATAAAAACTGTCATACACGGAGGAAGTCAACTACGTGAGAAAGTGTAGAAAAAGTAAGAGCTGGAGAAATGAGGCAGTGTCAGGCAGGTGATTGAAAACACCTATTCTGGATTCTGTGGCGTTTGTGGCACTGCTGATTTCTCAGATATGCAGTGGGTTTCCATTTCCCCTCTCCTTTCGAATGTGCGTGGAGGGACTCTTTTTCTTGAACAACTGCCCCCACCAACCAGCCTGATTATAAAACCGCAGGCTTCCCAAGGCCTAGTTCTGCCCACATCTTTATTTCACTTTAGAAGACTTCACCTGCTCTTGGCTTGAACAATGACTTCTTTTTCTGGGCTTACAAATTTATTTCTGGAATAAACTTCTCCCTGGTGATTTGTCCTTTATTTCCCGTTTTCTAGGTACAAGAGGTTCTCATTTTAATAATTTAATACAGTCATGTTGATGGTTAATGGTGACATTTGGCCATAGAGAAACACTGATATTTTAAACAGAAACACAGCAACACTCATAAGAGTATTTTACCCAACAATTTTGGAATCATTTTCACATACATTAGCTTTGAGAAATGTTTTCTAAATTTTATTCTTAGCCAAGTGGTGTAAGGTGGATCTCCAAGTGATCTTTAGAAAAAGGTATTTCTAGAGGCTGAGGACAGAATGGCCCTATCCAAATAATTGTTCTGACCTAAAGCCAGATACAAAAGGCAGTGTAGGAAAGAGGGAACCGCCAAGAATGCATCTAAAACATTCAGACAATCTCTATGCATCTGGGGTCTGGAGCAAAGGGAAGCAAGACGCTTTTACAAGAGTGAAACCTAAAGAGGGGGACCCTAATCCCAGTCACCAGCTCCCCCTGACAGCACCTGCAGCCTCTTTAGTGTCTGTGACAACAAGCTGGCATTGGCTTTGGGTCAGCTGTGGAGCACTGAGAACAAAGGCTCCCACCTCTTCTTGGAGTCCTTCGTGGCTCGTGAAGCTCTTCATGTGGTGCCTGGTGACCAACCCTGAGATCCCAGGGGCCCTCATGCCAACTGTGGGCATGGTGATACATGGAAGGACTCTCCTGAACCTGCAGGACACACCAATGGAAGGATGGGTCCTTCTGCATCTGCAGGCCACCCTGATGGATGGAGGGGTCCTCCCACATCTGCAGATCATCCTGATGAACGAAGGGGTCCTCCTGCACTTGCAGGACACGCCAATGGAAGGAGGTGTCCTCCTTCACCTGCAGGCCACCCTGATGGATGGAGGGCCCCTCCCGCACCTGCAGGCCACGCTGATGGATGGAGGGGTCCTCCCACACCTGCAGGCCACCCTGATGGATGGAGGGGCCCTCCCACACCTGCAGGCCACCCTGATGGAAGGAAGGAGTGGCCCTCCTGCACCTGTAGGCCACGTTAATGGAAGGAGGGGTCCTCCCACACCTGCAGATCACCCTATGGTCAGGGAGGTCCTCCCACATCTGCAGGCCATGCTGTGTTTTTCAACTTTGTTTTTTTGTAAATGGACAATGTGTAATTGTCTGTATTTACGGAATACAAAACAATGCTACAATTAATATAATATTGAATAAGTCAGTCAATTAGCATATCCCTTACCTCAAATACTTAACAATTTTTTGTGGTGAAAGCATTTGAAGTTTATTCTCTTTTTTTCTTGATTTTTAAACAAATTTTTTATTTCAATAGGTTTTTGGGAAACAGGTGGTGTTTGGTTACATGGATAAATTCTTTAGTGGTGATTTCTGAGATTTTGATTCACCTATCACCTGAGCAGTGTACACTGCACCCAATGTGCAGTCTTTTATCCCTTATCCCCCTCTCACCCTTCCCCAAGAGTTCCCAAAGTCCGTAGTATCATTCTTATCCTTTTGCATCTTCATAATTTAGCTCCCACTTATGAGTGAGAACATACAATGTTTGGTTTTCCGTTGCTGAGTTACACTTAAATAATGGTCTCCAGTTTCATCCGGGCTGCTGCAGATGCCATTATGTCATTCCTTCTTATTGCTGAGTAGTATCCTGTGGTATACATGTACCACAGTTTCTTTATCCATAATGGGCATCTGGGCTGGTTTCAGATTTTAGCAATTGTGAATTGTGCTACTATAAACATACATGTGCAAGTATCTTTTTGATATAATGACTTTTTTTCCTCTTGGTAGATAACCAGCAGTGGGATTGCTGGATCAAATAGTAGATCTACTTTTTCTTTAAGGAATTTCTACACTGTTTTTCATAGTGGTTGTGCTAGTGTATGTTCCCACCAGCAGTGTAAAAGTATTCCCCTTTCACCACATTCATGCCAATCTCTATTATTTTTTGATTTTTTGATTGTGGCCACTTTTGCAGGAGTAAGGTGGTATGGCATTGTGGTTTTGATTTGTATTTCCCTGATAATTAGCGATGTTGAGCACATTTTTATGTTTGTTGGCCATTTGTATATCCTCTTTTGAGAATTGTATGTTCATGTCCTTAGCCCACTTTTTGATGGGATGTATTTTTTCTTGTTGATTTCAGTTCCCTGTAGATTCTGGATATTAGTTCTTTGTCAGATACATAGTTTACGAATATTTTCTCCCACTCCGTGGGTTGTCTGTTTACTCTCCTGATTATTTATTTTGCTGTGCAGAAGTTTTTTAGTTTAATTAAGTCCCATCTATTTATTCTTGTTTTTGGGTTCTTGTTCAAGAAGTCTTTGCCTAAGCCAATGTCTAGAAGGAGTTTTCCGATGTTATCTTCTAGCATTTTTTATGGTTTCAGGTCTTAGATTTAAGTCTTTGATCCATTTTGAGTTTATTTTTGTATAAGGTGAGAGATGAGGATCCAGTTTCATTCTTCTACATGTGGCTTGCCAATTATCACAGCATCATTTGTTGAATAGGGGTCCTTTCCCTACTTAATGTGTTCGTTTGTTTTGTTGAAGATCAGTTGGCTGTTAAGTATTTGGCTTTATTTCTGGTTCTCTATTCTGCTCCATTGGTCTGTGTGCCTCTTTATACCAGTACCATACTGTTTTGCTGACTACAGCTTTGTGGTATGCTTTGAAGTCAAGTAATGTGATGTGACCAGATTTGTTATTTTTGTTTAGTCCTGCTTTGGCTATGCTGGCTCTTTTTTGTTTCCATACGAATTTCAGGATTTTTTTTTTTTCTAGTTCTGTGAAGTATGATGGTGGTTATTTTGATGAGAATTGCATAATTTGTTTATTGCTTTTGGCAGTATGGTCATTTTCACAATATTGATTGTACTCATCCGTGAATATAGGATGTGTTTCCATTTGTCTGTGTCATGTATAAGTTCTTTCAGCAGTGTTTTGTAGTTTTCTCTGTAGAGGTCTTTCACCTCCTTGATTAGGTATATTGCTAAGTATTTTATTTTATTTTTTTTTGTGCAGCTATTGTAAAAGGAATTGAGTTCTTGATTTGAATCTCAACTTGGTTGCTATTGATGTATAGCAGTGCTACTGATTTGTGTACATTAATTTTGTATTCTGAAATGCTACTGAATTCATTTATCAGTTCTAGGAGTTATTTGGATGAGTCTTTAGGGTTTTCTAGGTGCACAATTATATAATTGATGAACAGTGACAGTTTGATTTCTTCTTTACCAGTTTGGATGCCCTTTATTTCTTTCCCTTGTCTGACTGCTCTGGTTAGGACTTCTAGTACTATGTTGAATAAAAGTGGTGAAAGTGGGCATGCTTGTTTTTCCCAGTTCTTGGGGGAATGATTTCAACTTTTCCCCATTCAGTATAATATTGGCTGTGGGTTTGTCATAGATGGCTTTTATTTCCTTAAGCCATGTCCCTTCTATGCTGATCTTGCTGAGGATTTTAATCATAAAGTGATGCTAAATTTTGTCAACTGCTTTTTCCGCATCTATTAAGATGATCATGTGATTTTTGTTTTTAATTCTGTTTATGTGGTGTATCACATTTATGGACTTGGGGGTATTAAACCATCCCTGAATCCCTGGTATAAAACCAAATTGATCATGGTGGATTATCTTTTTGATATGCTCTTGGATTTAGTTATAGTATTTTCTTGAAGATTTTTGCATCTATGTTCATCAGGGATATTGGTCTGCATTTTTGTTGTTGTTGTTATGTCCTTTCCTGGTTTGGTATTAGGGTGCTACTGGCTTCATAGGATGATTTAAGAAGGATTCTCTCTTTCTCTATATTTTGAAATAATGTCAATAGGATTGGCACTAGTTCTTCTTTGAATATCTGATAGAATTCAGCTATAGATCTGTCTGGTCCTAAAATTTTTTTGTTTGGCAGTTTTTAAATTATCATTCCAATCTTGTTGCTTGTTATTGGTCTGTTCAGAGTTTCTATTTCTTCCTGGTTTAATCCAGGAAGGTTATATATTTCCAGGAATTTATCCACCTCCTCTAGGTTTTCTAGTTTGTGTGCATAAAGTTGTTCATAGTAGCCTTGAATGATCTTTTGTATTTTTTTGGTTTCAGTTGTAATATCTCTGGTTTCATCTATTGAGTTCATTTGTATCTTTTATTTTCTTGGTTAATCTCACTAATAGCCTATCAATTTTGTTTATCTTTTCAAATAACCAGCCTTTTGTTTTATTTATATTTTGTATTTTTTGTTTCAATTTCCTTTAGTTCTGCTCTGAGTTTTATGTCCTTTCTTCTACTGAGTTTGCGTTCATTTGTTCTTTTATCTAATTTCTTGAGGTGTGAGCTTAGCTTGTCTGTTTGTGCTTTTACAGACTTTTTGATATAGGCATTTAATGCTATGAACTTTCCTCTTCACACTACCTTTGCTGTATCCCAGGGGTTTTGACAGGTTGTGCAACTATTATCATTTGGTTCAAATAATTTTTAAATTTCCATCTTGATTTCATTGTTGATCCAATGATCGTTCAGGAGTAGGTTGTTTAATTTCCAGGTATTGTTTTGAGGGTTAACTTTGGAGTTGATTTCCAATTTTATTTCACTGTGATATGAGAGAGTACTTGATATAATTTCAACTTCCTTAAATTTATTGAGACTTGTTTTGTAGCCTATCATATGCTCTATCTTGGCGAATGTTCCATGTGCTGATGAGTAGAGTGTATATTCTGTAGTAGTTGGGCAGGATGTTCTTAAATATCTATTAAGTCCATTTGATGTAGGGTATAGTTTAAGTCTATTGTTTCATTGCTGATTTTCTGTCAGTAGAGTGTTGAAGTCCCCCACTATTATTGAGTTGGCATCTACCTCATTTCTCAGGTCAAGGAGTAATCATTTCGTAAATTTGGGAGCTCTAGTGGTTGGTGCATATATATTTAGAATTGTGATGTTCTCCTGTTGGACTAGTCCTTTTATCAGTATATAATATTCCTCTGTGTTTTTTAACTGTTGCTGCTTTACAGTCTGTTTTGTCTGATATAAAAATAGCTGCTCCTGCTTGCTTTTGGTGTCCGTTTGCATGGAATGTGTTTTTCCACCCCTTTACCTTAAGTTTATGTGAGAGCTTAATGAGTCTCTCAAAGACAGCAGATAGCTGGTTGGTGAATTCGTATCCATTCTGAAATTCTATATATTTTAAGTGGGGCATTTAGGCCATTTACATTCGTTAGTATTGAGATATGAGATACTATTCTATTTGTTGTGCTAATTGTTGCTTGA